GCGAAACCCAGGGTGGTTTCGTGTGGGTGTGTCCCAGTTTGCACAAGGCGAACGGGACCCAGCAGAAGAAGGAGGTGGAACAAGCTGACCCCTCCGCGTCCCCCGGGGCAGGCGGGGTTCCCCGGCAGCGCGGGACTTTCTCCCCCTCGGTGACCACAGACAGAGGCGGAGAATCGGGCACGAGACTGAGACGATCTCCGTTTCTCCTTTTTACACCTAAGCAGAGAGAAAACACGTTTTCCTTCATGTTCGAGCGTTAGCTAACGCAGGGCAGACAGCTTTGAACGTCGCCTATCCAGTAATAGCTTAAGCAGTCACCTGGGCTATCTTTACCAAAACAGATTTTTCAGATCTGTTGGAAAAAGTTTGTACTAGACTTCTCTTGTCAACAAGGCCCATATATTGTTTTCCATCAGCTAAAATATTCACCAGAGCATTTCAGGTTACTTATACCACCAAGGAAGCAGGATAAGCTCTAGGGAAGGGGCTTTGGTTATAATATGATCAATTCCTTTATTGCAAAGATACTAAACTGGGTCCAGCTGATCTCTCATAATAGTTCTATAATTATTATTTTGAAAGAAACCCTACACACAAAGTGCAATGAAAACAATCGCTGAAGTGAGCCTCCACAGTCCCCGCAGCATTTGCAAATCCTTTTTTGAGTCGCGCTCCTCAGCACTCAGAGGTTTTGTTTCTCCCCCACTGTTTAAAAAAAAAAAAAAAAAAAAACCAACAAAAAAACCAACCCTTTATTTAAGAATGAATTCAACATATGCATGGCTGGAAGCAACACTTATCACATCTTTAAGAAGTTCAGCGATCGAGTCACTTGAAAAAAAGCAAGAATCAGGTTAGTAATACTAGTCATGAACCACAGAAAGCGTGTTAAGCAGCCGAGGTCTTAATTTCACATGCATGTTTTCCCCATACTCTGCTCTTGAATGCAGTCCTGCAGATACAGGTGTTTCACATTAAGTCAGTCTTTCCACCAAAGACAAACCTCTCTAACAAGAGAATGAGAACAAAAGCCTCCCGCGCACACAAAACCAAAACCACACATCCAGATACTGGCATGAACCACTCTTACAACCTATACATTTTAATAATGAGAGAGGCAGACAGGAAAACAGGCAATTATACAAAAGAATTTATTCCAAAAGTTGTGATAAAAATACTTCAAATTTTTAAAAAATGCACGTTAAAAACATTTGGGAGGATAATACATTCATTCAAAGTCTCAGGTTAGTAGGCTGCGCTGCAGGAGCGATCCCTGCAGAGGGAGGCTTCCTGCAGGCTGCGCAGCGCTGTGGGGCAGGCAGCACACCTCGCGTGTTCGGATTTAGATCTGCAAGGCTGTCTTCACCCTGAGCTGATGCTGGGTTTCAGTTAAGGCCAAGCTTGCTCACTCTCCTCCATTTACAAGAATCCAAGAAGGGACCCAAACTTAAGCACAGCTCTTCAAGTGGTTATAGTGGGCATTTAGACAAATCAATTTTTAGACATCCTGAGTATGTGCAACTACAGTTCAAGTTAATGGAAGAGTGGGATTTAAACCTACCCTTAATTTCATGCTAGAGAGCAAGATTTTGCTTGCATATTTAGGCACTTAACTTCCAGAGCGTCTTCTGAACCAAGCAGTTTTGTTGAAAACCATTTTTGTCGTCCTGACAGTCTATGACCTTAGATGTATACAAGAAAAACAAGGATTTTTATAAACACTAAACAGAAGCCCACATCTTTATCAAATGTAAGCTAGTCATATACTGAGTATGGAGCGTAGATGAACATTGCAGTTTATTTTAACCTACTCCCAAAACCAGAGTAAACATGAAAAAAATTTAGAGACTATATTCAGGGCCTGCAGATGGCCTGTCTCCACAAAAGGAGAACACAGTTTAGGAATATTACCTGGATTTGAATTTGAATGGAATTACATGGCTATAGCACTGTATGAGAGACAAAATAATTTAAAGCCTTAAATACAAACCTATCCTTTGATATACGGAAAACATCCCATCACTTTAAAGTGTAGTACTGCAGAACACAACTGTACACATTTCCAAGTAAGAGTTTGTCTTTGCCTAGTAATTTTAAAGTGATTATAGGCCAACTTCATAAAAAGTAGATTACAACTCAAGAGTAGAGTACAAGAGGAATACAGCATGTAACATTGTGTCAAGAAATGAGAACCTTCCCATGTTGAAATAGTTTAAAATGCATTTGACTCTAAACAATTTGAAATGTAAACCTGTCTATCTGCTTTGAAAATTAGGTATCTGAGGTGCAACGTTTCCAACAGTCCTTCAGTTAAGGTTACTTTTTTGCTACAGGACTCCTCCTCTACTTACCTACTGGGACAAACCATATAAGCTTTGCTCCTTAATAGCATTATACAATAACATTTTCTTACAGCCCACATGATTCTGTTACAGCCATTTACATTCCTTTTCCAGTACTATGGAGAATTTATATTTAAAGTGCATCTCAAATCAGGAATCTCTAACTAATATACAACAATAACATGCTAAGACTTGTGGAAGTATATTTGCTAACTCCAATCACCGTGATACCAAGTGCCTTTTGATTTACTGGTAGGACAGAGAACAGAGTTCAGGCAATTGAGAGTCTTATTGCAAATAAGTATAGCTACAGATTTGGCCAGACTGTCAGACTGTTGTGTGGGGGTTTTTTTGTTTGTTTGTTTTTTCTTTTTCTTTTTGGTTTTTTGTTGTTGTTGTTTTTTGTTTTTTGTTTTTTTTTTTCCTTTTTTGTAAATGGAGCTGCACACACATACATAGAGGGCAGAATTTATCCTACAGAGAAACATTTGATTTGGTAAATGAGTTTAAGCTTTTTGGCAAGTGAGCTTAAGCTTTTAGTTCAGAAAGTTATTTTTCAATACTCAATACTTTTCCTAACCATCTTTCCCAATTCACCCATCACAGAAACTTTAAGAAAAACAGGTTTGTTAGTTTCTGTAGGAAGAAAAAAACCATTTATTCTATAACTGCAGCTTAAATACCTGCAACTAAATGTGAAATCTTAAATACATTCGTTTAAAAAACAAACCTTTGCTGGTGTAATACCTTGATCTTTTGAAAAAAGCTCCCTAAAGAACATAAAATCAAGCAGCTCGAGTCATCCAATTACAAAAAAAATTACTCCTTAAAAAACAGCAGATAGCATAGATTGTTTCCTCTGATTTTGCTAGTTAGCAGTTTGAAAACATTTTTTTAACCTTTATAAGACATCACACAAAATTCATCAAAGGATGAACAGAAAAAAGTCAGTATGTTCACTGTGGTTGAAGTGAACGTGATCTTAAAGGCAAAAAGCAATTGTCACTTGAACTAGTACATGGTTCTTGCTGCTCTGACTGGAGCTCTGGGGGGAGAGGGGGTGCACCGGGGTCTCCAGGCCCTGGAAGGGTGGCTGAGAAAACAGCACTCTCTGCATTTCCCATCTCTGCAACTGGTAAATTCATTGAATGAAGAGAGACAGCAGACACAAATGCGGCAGTGCTATAATCTTCTTCTGGATGATGTATCTGGGTAGATTCTTTGTCTTTTGTTTTATCAAAAAAATTAGATTCATCAGAATATGATCTAGAAAGATTATTCGTTCCTCCATACAATGAGGTCATACAGGTGCTGCAGCTTAGACCTAAGACAAAAAACAGAGACTGGATTTAATTACAATATGGTGCAGTCTTAAAACTGTGCTCCGATTTAGTATCAGTAAGATTCTCAAAGATCAATTGTCTGTATTTTTAACAGACTAACCTCTTCATCTCACCTGTGACATCCCAATATTCATGACAAATTAAAAAATACATGCAGGTTATCTAGGCTGACATGAATGATTTCTCTGTATCAGCTTCTATTTGACAAAGATGCACCATAATTTAAACTTCATTTTAGGACGTCACTTTAGCCCTTTGACCTATCTTTTGATAGATTTTTCTCACTGTGTTCTTCAAACTTTTAAAAGCTTCAGCTATATGGCTCTACTCCAGAGTGGACTGCATTTGAAGGCTGTTTTACGTGAAGCCAAAAAAAACTTCAGGCCTTTAATCTCTAAGGTTAAAATGTACTTCTTCCTTCTTTACTTCTCTTTTGATGGGTGTGGAAGGGGAAGTAAGGTTTTTGGTTTAGAAGGCTTATACTTTCTTTATCTGCCTTAAAATATGAGTACACATAGTCACTTCAAGCTTTGTGTGTCAACAAAACCTCTCTACCTGTATGATGCAACACATGCGTACATTTACGGTGTCTAATTTTAAGTTTTGGCATTGAAGGCATACAGGAGAATTCCCCTCAGGTTGCATTTGCTGGCTTATCTTCTGCTGAGGTGCAACATTTAACAAAACCAGAGCATCCTGCCACTGCAGTAAATAGCTGCAAGAGAAATGCAAGATGGAAGATAACCACCTATTCTGAGTTCTGAATTAGAACCCCATAGAAAGCAAAACTGAAATGTGAAGACAGACTTATCCATCATAACAATACATGATAGGGTTCTTTGCAATTTGTTATTTATTATCTGTTCAGATAGTAAAAAGGCAAAGCCAGGATACATGCACTAGGATCTTAAACCTAAACTGGTGATATTTCCAGGAATGTTGTCCCAAACACTGGAAGAAGGAAAAAAAAAAAAAAAAGAAAAAGAAAAATCTGTTCTAAGAAACATGATTTAAAGAATTGTTGGAGTTTAATTTTGCACATCCTCAGAATAACACTTACGACTTACAAAATATTATTATAAACTTCTCACCTTTGAGAGCTTCAAGTTTTTCATTTTTGACTTTCAACACTACATCAGTTATCTTTTGTAACAGAAAGTTTTGTGTTCTTTCTCTTCTGATAGATTCAATCAAAGCATCTAGTCCCTTTGGGTTTTCTGCTAAGTAGTCCAATAACTTCCCAGTTTTTTTCCTACTGGAAGATCGAGAAGAAATTTCTTCTGTGTCCTCTCTAGTGAGTATTTTCTTTGACCGTAGGTAATCAAAGTGTCTCTCAGCTATGATTTTATCACACAGGTAAGGACGCATCCTTTCTAAAGCCTGAAAAACAAAAAAAACTAGTATTAGCCAATCTTTCAATTTATTTAGAAGCCTGTATTTGAAACCCATATGATTTTGATACAGGTTAACGAAACAATTTTTAAAGTGGCCACCGTGTTACCTAGCAGAGATTTTTCTCAGTGTAAAAAAACATTACTTTTTTTTTAAAAAAAACGTTATCTAATTTACTTATCCCTTTCATTAGTTTTCTTTGACTGAACTCATGAGTTTTAAGGCATGTTAATTAATAAGGTGAATACTTACTGAAAATGTTAGTTACATCAAGTCTGTGGTTATCCCATTTCAGAACATTCACCAGGTAAAAATGAAAAGAAATTATACCAACAAAACACAAGAGCACCTACTCACTTTGTCTACAGACACACTCATTCTCACTGACTACCCGATTGCCACATTTCCATACTATTTGTATCCATGAGGCACAACTCCAAAATATTGCAATTATTGATGTTTTCTGTACATTGAGCAAAAGCAGACCCAGAGCAACAGCATAAATATATGCACTGTTTAAAAGGTTTGTTTAATAAACACCACTATGTACAAGTTCAACAGATTACTGGCATCCAAAACACATGCACTTTCATCCACAGATGTACCTACTCTCAACAACTTTACTGGCTGCTTTTTGTCTTCATCAAGCTGCCTTCTTCTGGTTCAAGATTTTATATTAAACACTGCACACTTCTAACACACTGCACAGACCACTGAGAGGTAGTGCAACTCTGATGACTCTGGCAAAAGCAAAATGACTGCAGCATAACTTCAGCTTGCAAGTGTAAACTGTTTGCTTAAGTCCTCTCCATAACCAGCAAAAAAAAAAGAGGTGGAACAATCTGCCCATGAGAGGGGACTCCATCCATGGTCTAAAGACCCTAACATGCAGTCAATTAACATTGGGTATGACGAAGCAGAGACATCTGTCTTGAGCACTTCAGCAGCAGTGCCACTTTGCATCTTCAGGAACTGTAACATCTAGTATCAGATCACATTCCCTCAGAGATCTTCTTCCCGGGGAAACGTGTTATCTTTTGTAACCATATTCAATTCTAACCTGACTACCAATTTATTTCAGAGGTAATTTTATGGGAGCACTGTCAGAACTAAAGACTGCCATGTCACCACTTCGATTTCCTCCTTGGAAGGAATTTCCTGCCAACATTTTTCACCACACAGAATTACACAAGAAGTCAGAAGAAAAAACTAACGCCCCCCTCCTCCCCCCCAAGTCTTATTTGATTCAAGAAAAGAAAAAAAAAAAAAGATTTGAGGGCTAGAAGGAAAAGCACCTTTGCATACAAGATATGTGAAGAGACGGAAAGAAACAAAACTTCTTTCCTGAAGAAAGTTTTCAAATATTCTCCTGCTTTTTGAGATTCGATTCCGTAACAGCAGCATTTAAAAATTAAAATTTGAAAATGACTCTTTGCCTTAGAGCCATTTACTAGCTCAGTAAATAGAAGCAGAGGAAAAGCTAGACACAAAGACACACTTTAAGACAGATTATTTCAAACAGCAAAATACTGCTAAGGAAAGCACCAATAACTCTTAAAGAAAAAACTTCCTGGACTGCTCCACTAAGTATAGCAGAGGATAAATGTGTTCTTCTAGTTGTTCTTTAGGATCCAACAAATACTAAGCTATGAATAAACAGCCTGTGATCACACAGTTGTTAAAGAAAACATCAGATGAGATGCATGGAAAATAAAGGAAGGCTTTTGGCAGTAGACTATCACCACTGGATTGAATACAACATAAAACCAAAAACATAAGGGTGCAGCTCCATGGTGGCCAATTTAAGTGCAAGGAACACTCCCCCCTGCATGGCAGCTGCGTGTTCCTACCCCTTCCCTTGTACTGGTGGATGAGAAGATCCAGTCAAGAAACTGTATTAGTGCTTTTTTTTTTCCCCCCTCCCACAGCCAGATTAATTACCCAATCCAGTTTAATATGCAGTCACGTTGGCATTAGTGGTGGCATAACAACTATGGTAAGAGCAGAAAAGTGCACCAGTACAGCTTATATCCATTTAGGCAGCTCTGGAATACATCTCAAGTGTCCAATTGCAACAAGCCCACGCCTGAATTATTACGAATGTAGTACACAACACAGATTTCTTCAGTTCTCACGGAAATCTCATCCTACCACCAGAAAGATCGATCAACAAACTCTAAAACATAAATCAGTCAACGATTCAACATTAAAAGAATAGAGTGAGTTGTTATTGAATAGAAAAACTATTGTGTTTTGACTAACATCTTCCTGTAATGAGTCTTTCACTATACAAAGTGTATCAGCTCTGAATTCCCCTCTGCACTGTCCTCGTAGGGTAACAGTTTGTCAGCGACAGAAAGAGTAAACACATTAGAACAGAAGTTTTAAATATACTTTGCGCTATATTGATTATTTTGCATGGCTCCTGCCTCCTTCCCAGCTCTTGAATGTAAGACTTCAACCTTTATAATTCCTCCTCAAGACAAGTTTATCCAGATCAAGTTATCCTTGCAAGTTAGCTTTCTGAGGTACGCTGTCACATAATATACACAGAACTTCTGGTAATGGAGCACTTCTGTTTGAAGTGATCCTATCAAAGTTACCTGAACAGCTTTGAAACAGCTAAGTAAGTTTACATTGAACCAGCACTTTGTATTGTGAAGCCGCAACATTTAAAATCTGAGAGAAGCAGCTCTAAAGTCAGATTTATTGGATTGTATTTTGATGATAAAACTAATATTATTTCTTTCTACGTATTAGGTTTCCACCAAGTCCTCCAATTACTATGGGAGACCCTATAAGATTAAGGGCTGAAGTGACATACATGCACTTCTGTGAGACGCAGCCATGAATTCAGTCACTGACACAGATTAACATACATATGTTACACATAGAGTCTGGTTTAAGCAGTTCTTACCTTTTTTTGATGTAACTACCGGATGCTAACTATTGCAGTATTACCCTGTGGTTCCACAGAAGCAAGTAATAACTTGAAAAACATGCCTCACAAAACTATGACAAAGCATTTAAAGAAAATTATGTACGCATAAAGCTAGTAAGAAACCAAAACTGAACTCCAAACATTTTTTATTGTACTTTAAAGGAACATAAAAACCCAAATAAGTCAAACATAAGACACTGTAAATTACAAACAGAAGCATAGATGGTCAATAAATAATTGATAAACTGTGATTTTTTTAGATTTTTTTTTTTTAAATTAACCAATCACTTGTTGAGGTTGGTTAGCACACTGCTTGCTTCCCAGTCTAGCAAAGAGATAAGTAAATCCAGATTGAATCAGGATGAAGTCTTCCCTCAGATTCCAGACATCAGTGAATAAACATGGGGAAAAAAATCAGGAAAATATAGGAAAAAAAAACCTCAAAAAGTTATCAATATTTAATCCAAATATTCATGTTCTATAAGAAAGAATCTTATTAACACCAAGAGAACCATGTACATTTGCAGCTAACCTCTGGATACATGTTAATTACTCATCACTTCTACTCTGCCTGCTGTGCCTCGCCGTGGGACACCGTGAAAACCAAACCCTTGCTGCTCTGGCCCTAAAACGCGACGCAGGAGCAGACCGCTTAGAGGAAAGCAAAAGAAAACGGAACCTTCAGGCGAATACCCGGCCCCGGGGTCACGTTTTTGCAAGTCGTTATCAGCCTTACAGCCGGAAGGCCCCCGGAGGCCAGAGCCCGGGCTGCCGCTGCGGGCAGGACGCCCCGGG